GGCTAGAACTTCCAGTGTTATGTTGAAGAGCAGTGGTGATAGTGGACACCCTTGTCTTGTTCCTGATCTCAAAGGAAAGGCTTTCAGCTTTTCTCTGTTGAGGATAATATTGACTGTAGGTTTAGGGTGGCTCTGAAAAGAGCCTTTGGGGGTGCAGGCCGAGCCCGGGGCGCACACTGCATGCTCACTTGGAGCTGGTGTACTTGGTGACCGCTGTGGTGTCCTCGGACACAGCGTGCTTGGCCAGCTCTCTGGGCAGCAGCAGGCTCATGGCCGTCTGGATCTCCCGCGACGTGATGGTCGAGTGCTTGTTGTAGTGCGCCAGGCGCGACGCCTCACCCGAAATGCACTCAAAGATGTTGTTGACGAACAAGTTCATGATGCCTGTGGCCTTGGACGAGATGCCAGTGTTGGGGTGCACCTGATTCAGCACCTTGTACACGTACACTGAGTAGCTCTCCTTGCTGCTGTGCTTGCGCTTCTTGCTGTCCTTCTTTTGCGCCTTGGTCACCGCCTTCTTCAAGCCCTTCTTCAGGGCGCGCGCAGACTTGGCCGGCTCAGGCATGATGAGCGATCCATCAGTTGCCAGACAGTGGAACTGATAGAATAGATTTTAAGGCAAAATAAAGATAATCAGAGACAAAGTGGTCAAGGCAACAGTTCATGAAGATATAATTTTCATATATACATGGCCAACATAGGTGGGGAAATAGAACAACTAATTCTGTGTGACAACCAAGAGCTGACACTTTGAAAGGAAATGCAAAATTGATAAAGCCTTCGCTCAGATTGGTAGAAAAAGAAAACAAATTAAAAGAATGATAAATATAAGAGGTGAAAATTACACTATCACCCAAATACAGGGACCATAAAAAACTACTATGGGCATCTTTGTCAAAACAAATTGGACAATCCAGAACAAATGTGTGAATTTTTGGCATGATACCACTTTGTAAGATAGAATCAGGATGAAAAAGCTTAACACCAGTCATGGACAGAGAAAATGATTGCAAAAGTAAAAAGTCTAAGAACAAAAACCAAAGATCACATGGCTTCTCTAGTGGGTTCTGTCAAACCTTCAAAGAGGATCTAATACGTAATCTTTTTTGAACTCTTTAAAGAAATTGAAGGAGGAAAGCTCCCAGACATTTTGCAAGGCTAACATTGCTTTGATACCAAAACAATCAAGGACAGCACACACAGAGACCAAAATACAGACCAATATTTATATGAAAATAGATGTAAAAGTCCTCACAAAGTCTTGGCAAATAGAACACAGCAGCATATTAGGGGAAGCATACATCAGAACCAAGTAGCTTTTATTCCAGGCTTGCTAGCTAGCATAGTTCAACATATGTGAATTAATCAGTGTAATTTACACATCAACAAAAGAATGATAAAAAATCTTATGATCATTTCAATACATGCCAAGTTATTTGACAAGATTCAGCAATCATTCCTGATGAAATCTCAATAAAATGTGAATAAATAATCTCAAAATAATAATGGCCAAACTTGGCAAACTAGTCCAACATCATACTCAATAGTGACAAACTGAAAATGTTCCCATAAAGTCAGGAACAAGACAAGGATTTCCACTTTAGCCACTACAATAAATATATTATTGGAAGTCCTGCCCAGAGCATTTAGGGAAGTAAAAGACAAAAAGAATACAAATTGGGAAAGAAGTGAAATTATCCCTATTTGCAAATGACATTATATATATCCCAAAGCCTACCAAAACATTAGAAATAACAAATACAATAATGTGGCAGGATGCAAAATCAATACACAAAAATTCATTGCATTTCTGTAAACAATGAGCTAGAAGAAAGAAATTTTAAAAACCCAATTACTTTGATACAAAAAGGGATGAAGTGCTAGGGAGTATGCTTAACAAAGGAGGTTAAGGACCTTACATTGGAAACTAAAGACACTAAAGGAAATAGAAAAAAAAAAAAACCACAAAATAATAGGAAATATCCATGTTCTAGGATTAGAAGAATAAACACTGTTAAAATGGTTGTATTACATAAAGCAATGTATGGTTCAATGCAATACCTATCAAAATCCCAATGGCATTTTTCAACAAAACAGAACAATTACAAAATTTGTATGGATCCACAAAGGGCCCTGAATCAACGAACCAATCCTGTAAGTAAAGAAGAAATATGTAATTATCAAAATAGTATGGTATTAATTCCACCCCCATGTTTCCTGCTACTTTATTTACAATTGGAGAAACATGGAAGCAGCCCAAATGCCCAAAAGTAGATGACTGGATTAAAAAGATGTGGTACATATATACAATGGAATATTACTCAGCAACCAAAAAA